TGGAAACACTAGGATTTTCCAGTCGACTTTTTTTTTCTCTGCCTGCCCCCTTTCAAAAACGACTGTGCTGCGTCCTTCCCAAATGTCCGGTGGTGTCATGTTGAATCTATTTTTTTTATTTTAATCATGTATTCTTGTTGTTATTGATGGGGGGCGGGGGGGGGGTTAGGTATGCACACGTAAATTATTTACGTTGATAAATGAAGATTGATCCAATAACCTTTAGAGGCATTGCATTTAATTTATATAAGGTGCAATTTAATAAATTTTTGAATACATGTCCTTGAAAACTGAAATTCATTTGTTCATAAAATTTATTTCACACAATTCATTTTCAAATTTTGAAACAAAGTTGAAGTTTACTCAAGGCAGAGTTCAAACTTCAAACGCTGAAAGTTAGACAATGACATGGTCTTAGGAACCATAAGGGGGAGGGAATAGGGAGCCGTGCTCCCAAGAACTTTGCAGATATATAACACAATAGAAAACAGGACTCACAAACACATGTGTCTCGTTAATATGAACTTCTGATGACTTTTTTATTTTTTGCATAAGTTATCAAGGATTTTTTGTTAGTTGATGGTGCCCAAACTGATAATGTATAGCTGCCCCCTCCCCCCATCCCATGAAAGGGAGACTGTCACCCATCCCTTTTTTTTCAAGAAAGATTTTTTCTCTAAAGAACGAGGGCGCTTTTGATTGGCATTCGGCAGGAATCTGGGCGTAATTGAAAAGTGAAAATTTTATCGACATGTCACATGAAATTTTTACATTTTTTTTTATCTTGGGGGTTCCTGTGCAACAGGAAAGGTAAACGTTTTCCCGAAATCGAGTTTTGATTTGCTAAAAAATAGCTTGAAAATTGGCCAGATCAGACATTTGGTACAAAATGGTACATTTCTTAAACACGTTTTTCTAAAAATTTTCTATCTCTGGGTCTTCGAACTCTCCCTGATTTTTAAACGTTATTTGTGTGTATTTTAATTCAAAGAAACGAATACACATTTTCAAAAAATGGAGAGTAGACCCAGAGACCATGAAAAATGACCTTTTCCTAAAAAAAATTCAAAATGTGTGAATATGGTGTTTCTTTGTCCTTTTAAAATCTTCAGTTTATGTGTAGCGGCGATAGCTCAGTATGTTGGGCTACCAGTGTTCAGTTAAGATTTAGGTTCGAGCCTTGCATGCATGCGGCATTCCTTTTTTGTTTTCAAGCAAACAACCATTTAAAGTGCGCTCGGTTCTCGATTTATTTCTCCATGTTTTTAAAACTGTGATCTCAAAATATTACTAACCGTGTGTTCCTAACATATTCTTTCGCTGTTTCCACAACCAGACACTCCTCATAATTGTTGTTAATAGTCCTCCTGACCCTATTTCGCTTATTTAAACTGCCATTTTGGTTTCAAAGATAATTCGGTCCAATATGCTTCGTTCGGATGTCAACTACGAGAGTACTTGATAGAAGATAAAGGTTTTTTTAAATCTTTCCTTATTTGCAATTGAGGTAAAAATTTGAAAGATTTAATTAAGAATCGAGCGCACTTTTTGTGCGCAATAAACAGTTTTTTCAATGGGTGGCACTCTAGCTCTCCGGTCTATCAATATATTTTTTTCGGAGAGCTACAGATCTGCAGCTAGAAAGAACAAAGAATTGATTAATTTATAATGTCGCCTAGTACATGTATAATTCAACCTTTAATACAACACCGAAGTGAAGCATCCCTAATTTGTCCATCGAAAACCCCGCTCTTCTTTCCATTGTTGTTCATTATTGTGGGTGATGAGTAATTAGTGCATATTAATATCAAAATATCAAATATGTGAATCATTATTTAATTTGCAGTTCAACATTATCAATTAAACAATCCGTGACGTTTTAAAGTTGCATGTATTAGAGTGTCTGTATTTTGTTTTGGGGGCCGCAGTCGATATCGTGAAGCTCTATAAGATTCGTCCTTATTTAGATGAAGCTGTAAAGATCTTTTATAGATCTACATGTATGAGAAAAGCACAGGTTTGCATTTTCTAATCATCATCCTGGCAATATCTGCCCTTTGTATAGGGCTTGTGTTTGTAGATGTTTATCTAGAAGATTATCTAGAAGATTCCGAGAAAAGGAGACTGATATTGATGTGCATTCGTTATTATACAACTAATAATAATTATGTATATAATTTAATACGATTGGAATTTTTCATACAAAATTGGTAAATCATCAACATATTCAAAATTACAGTGATGTCTATTTTCACGTCTACAATAATTGTTAATCGTTGCTGAGTAAAAATGGGTACATGTACTCTTATTTTCAGCAAAATCCTGTTTTGATAATTTAAACTAGCTGCTTACCGTAGGTAAATTATTTATTGATTTCCGGGTTCTAAAACGAAAATAAACCAATACTTTTCGGAGAACTTTTCATATACGATCTTCGTAAAGGTATATATGTTATATTTGTTACATAGAATTAGTATCTCATTTTTTTTTGGTGTTATTTAAATTTTTTCTTTGGTTGTTAGTTCAGGAGTTAATCAATAAAACATGTATTGTAGTTGTTGCAGAAATGACGTAGGTCTATATAACTCTCGAACGCTTTTTTTGCTACGCTAGCTGCATTTTAATTCCTGTACTAAGAAAGGAAGACTTTAATAATGTATCTATATCAGAACAAATTATGTAATGGTTATAAGTTGAAAACTGTCCATTATGTAAGATATTAGACAACCCGAGGCGCGTTAGCGCCGAGTAGAGTCTAGTATCTGACATAATGTTCAGTTTGAGGCTTATAACTCCCTTAAAACATTTCACCAATGTCGAACACGTCCATTGTTAACTTATTGTACACCCACAGGTAAGATCCCGTTCCGCTTGGATGACTATCTACTACTGTTCATCAAGTTGGGCCAAAGAAAACCAGTTTTGGTTTTTCTTCTTTCTTTATATATAGCATGAATCATCAGGAGGTGTTTTATATCGATAAATATGAACATCAACTTTGTTTAGTCTTATTTATCCGCATTGCGACATTTTTTTCATATATACTACGCATGCGTAAATGTCAGTTCTATTAAATTCCTGACAGTTTATTCATTTTACAAGGCAATGACCACGGATGACGACGTACATTTTAATTCGAGACTTATTGTTCACAAAACAAAAAGAGGTCTTTCCACCTTCTCTGAATTTCTATTTTGTTTTATATCTAACTACTTATATACCATAAAAAAAGTGGCTTAAAAGAAAGAAAACAATGTTTTCTTTAAAATTTGAAATGACCTTGACCTTTGACCTTGAAGGGATTTTCAAGGTCAAGGGTCATATTGCAATTGACCCCATGCTTCTACGACTTTTAGTTCTAAAGTTATGATTAAATATTAAGCGCAAAGAAGTTAAAGTGCAATAACTCATATAAGGGGTCATTAGATCCTTTCGCACTCATACAATGAAGGTGTGCCTGAAGACCCTTAAGACATTAGTGAAGGTTTCATACCTCTGCGGTCAACGGTTTTGAAGTAGTAGCGATAACAATGTTTTTCGCATAAGGGGCAATAACTTTCAATAGGGTCAATCTTTGGGGACAAGAATGAAATCTTTGAAATAGTTTTTAGAGTACATATTAAAGATGGAAAGACTGATTGTATATTTTAAAAGACAAAAGAGATATAAAAACAGCTTAATTTTTTTATTTTTGAAATCATTTTTTATTTAAGAAAATCATATTTGATAGAAAATTTAAAAAAAAAAAAAATAAATAAGAAAGAAACAAAAAAAACCAAACCATTGAAAATCATAAATACGATTAACAAAAAAAAAAAAAAACTACGAAAATTAAGGAATGCATATAATTTTAAGATATATAGGCATAAAACACGCATCTTTGATTCAAAACACGTTTATTAAATAACATATACTCTCTTGTAGCCAACTGAAGATTTTTATAGGATTAGGTCAAGATCTAGTAAATGAAAGGTGACTACATGTTTCTCTAATTTGAGAAATTTATTATATCATTAAGCTTTGTAATGAAAAATATATAAATTTATTATAGGTATTAAAAGTGTTTGGCATGATTTTAAAGGTGCTTGGACACAGTTTTGAAGTTAATATTTTCTGTATAATACCACAAATTATATATTTTAATAGCATTTCACACAAACATTAATTAAAAATCTCATTTAATTTAAAAGTTATTAAAACTTCCAATTTTTGGCGGGTTTGATTGACACATCCTTGTACTTTCACAAATTTTAACTTTATCTTTAATACTTAGGAAAAGTGGCAATCTTGTTGTGTATTAATGAGAAATATTAAAACTTTAATCCAAAGAAATAATGTTTTTTTTTTTAGAGTAGAAATGTTAGGAAGGAAAACTCCTTTACAAGTATCGTCATTCCGAGCTAAGTGCTGTGTACAGAGTTTAGCAATCGATCACACTCGTGTTATGTACACAGTTTTTGTAAACAGGGTACGAGCTCTGTTATTGTTGATGTTTACGATTCACCAGGTGCGGTCAATCGGCAAAGTCTGCTCACCACAACTGCACGGACTGACAATATATTGTTTGATTGTTTGCTTTCAAACATTTCTACTCTGAATTTTCTGGATTATAGTATTAATATTTTTTATTTATATACAACACCATTGCCACTCTTCCTAACACTAACACAAAGTACCATTAACTTAATGGAGGAGATTTCGACATCATATGCTTCATCTACTTTATAAGCCTAAAAGTCTTCTGTGATGGTGAAAAATAGAAAAGTAGTTATCACTAGTATAAGCAGGCAAGTAAATAAATCAACTTTTAGAATATAACTGATTTATCGTTGATTGCCCTACTTCTCATCTTTTAGGGAGAGACTTCTCTTTCTGTATAAGGCCCTAATTTTGTATTTCACATATTTCATTAATGTTGTACCGCATGCAGCAGACCATTTGGCCTCATTCCGTCTAGTGTATTCACTCAGCTAATTCTAGAACATTAACACAAATTAAAAACAGTAAAAGAACAACAATGTATAACGACTTGCAATAACATGACACATCTAGTATATATTTATTCTCTTATAACTCTCGTGAGCTGCTAGTACAAAGTCTCACGAATAATATATACTTTAAGACTAGGTTAATAGAACCGATTCAATTGCATTTTTCGGTCTTGGGGAAGTCAGGCTGTAGTTCTGATCTCAAAAATTTATCACACAAATAATATGATTATAAAATCATATATAAAGAAAACCTGAAACTAAAAGAACAGTTACAAAGCATCTCTCTCACAGATGTATTGGTAATCTCTGTTGTCACAGGGTTCGTCACACCAAGTAAGACCGTAGGGGAGGTAGAGACACAGACAATCCTGGTTATTGTAGTTGTTTGGTTGGTTGACTTCCCAGTCGCTGAATGTCAGGAGGGAGTTGGTGTCTGCCCATCGCCATCGCCCCTCAACCTCACGATCAGTGGCACCTAACCAAACACTCGCTTTTTTGGAAATAGAAATACCACGTTAGATTAGACACCAACCAAGCTAGACGTGTACACTCGTGTTTTGGGAAATGACAATAAAACAACTTTTGACAGTAAATGAAATAAATACATATAATTAAACAAAGCACCTGAAAAATTTATAAGCATCTTGCCAAACACTTGCGTTTTGTTTTTTTTTTTTTTGAAATAAAGATATGATATCGTTAAAATATTACAACCATTTAGGCCTAGCCAAACACTTGGGGAATTGGGGAAAGATCACTACAATATTATGTTAACGCTCTGTTTGTTTGTTTGTTTATTTGTTGAACGTCCATGATAATAATACATTTACTAACCTGTTAAATTTTGAGCAAGCATGCGAACAAAGTTATTCTCGCTTGAAGACTCGATCTCAACAAGTTTTGCTCCAATCATTTTACATTCTTCCTATAAAATAATAAAAAAATAAATATTATGTAGTTAAAGAAAAGAAAATTATTCGAAAAATATAAAAGGAAATAAATATGTTAGTTAGGGATTCTTTTTTACATAGTTTAGGAATATGAGATGAATGTGCAAGTTTTAACTTGTTTTGATTATGTAAACATTTTACATGTAGCATGAGGATAATTTTATATGAAACGTAAAGTTAGTATTCTTATCTTGAAGAATAATTATCATACAATGTAATAAGATGTACCATAGGTTAAGGACTTCAATATCATGTACTAGTATATAAAAGAGTTCTAATGTACTTGCACTGGTATACGAGGGTTGTCCCAGAAAAACGCGAACTTTTGTAATATTTAAAAATACTATTCTTCCATAACTTAAGCTTTTTTGCCTGCAGTTGAAAAATTACATTTTGCTATTTTGACAAAATATTATAGACCTGTGCAAGTGATGCTATATGCATATATATTTATAGGTAAAAGCAGCACTTAAGGACAGATGATACAAACAATTTTTTTCTGGATGAATTGAAATAGACTTGGAAAATATTAGTAATATTTCAATAAAAAAAAACAAATATAGAGAAATTATACTCAATGAATGTTTACAGGTGAAAACAAATATCAGAATATGTTACCTTGGTGCTAAAAGATGTTTATACACTTTAGAAAAATATACAAAGCAAGATGAATCTTATTAGGAAATGCAAAATAATAAAAATCAGCCCATGTGATACCGCTGCAATTTTATCACTTCATTTTTATGAATCATCTGTCCTTTAAGTTTATATTACACTTTTAGCACCAAGGTAGCATATTCTGAAATTTGTTTTCATCTGTAAATCTATACTGAGTGTGTTTTGTCCATATTTTAATTATATTGAATTATTACTATTATTTTCCAAGTCTATTTCATTTTCCAGTTCTTAAGAGAAAAATTCTAAGAATTATCCAATTTTCAAAACTTGTGATATGATATTAAGTCTCCTCCAAAGAAAAAAATGTATCATCTGTCCTTAAAGTGTGTTATATATCAGTGGTCGGCGCACGACAATTTTTTGACTTTTAGAAATAACATTTTCGAAAGTATTTTTTTTGTTATGATGTCTAAGGTTTTCTTTAGTGATTTTATCTCGGTCTATTTCTTTGACATGCAATAATGACAAATATATGATTTTCATTATGGTGTTCTCGATATATCATTTCTTTGACATCAATAATGACAAATATATGATGATATGCGCCAAAGCACTTTGAATTAATAGACATTGTCAAAACTGGTGACGTTGGTCGGTTATATGTGGAGCACCAAAAAAAAAAAACAACCAGGTTGAAGAATTTGGGGTTGGCTTGACTGGTTTTATGATGAAAGAAGGATATGGAGATAGTGAGCAGTATTCAATCTCAAAGTCCATAAAACAATACAAAACAGGAGAAGTGCAAACATAGACCCCCGAAACATTAGAGGTAGAATCAGGTGCCAAGGAGGAGGAGCATCCCCCGCCAACCGGCACACCCGCTTTGCGCCCGCTGTCATGATCGGGAAACAACGGAAAATCCGTCGTCATTTCAGTGTACAAACAATGGAATAACAATCAGCAATGAAAACGTCAGTCAGCACCTGGCTCAATGACAAAATGCACAGAAAAGGTCAATGCATCGACCATAGAACCAACGAAATGATGACTTTAAACGAGACCGCCGACACCCCTGCCTCACCAACTTGCTTGTCAATAATTTACCTCGCCCCAGAAACCGTTCATACCTAGAGCACACTCTTGCGTATCGAATTATTTGAGATATACACACTCCGCATGCAGGTGATGAAGGTATACTGCCGCACAAGCAAGGACAAATGACGATAGAAAAGCTAAAGTCATCATGTTTTTCATATAGTTTGGCTGCCAAATTACCACTTAAATACAACAGACTACTAAAATGAAGACGAACTGAAGATACAGGAATAAGACGTCATAAGCCTTCGTAGAAAACGCTGTTAAACAATTTGATCAGTTGAGTTTATGATCGAGATTGCGAAATTGTCCATTAAAAGAAAGAACTTCGCAATCTTTTGGTATCACTAATATATAAGGAGTATACCTTGAACTTGATAATTAAAACAAATTTTAATACCGAATTTATGTTCAAAAGAATCTATACGAATACAGATTCCAAATCAAATTCACAAGGACAATAGGCTACGACGTTGTCAGTGTTGCGCCGACAGCTTGATTTTTAGATTCTTTTACCTGAGGGGAAAATTTCATATATCGCGATGTTTCATTGAAATTACTATGCATTATTCAAAAAAAGTTGATTTTAAGGTATGCCGATTTATAACTTTATAGTTTTAGTGAAACAAAAGATATTAAAAATATTCGCATATTATGGGACCACCCTCGTACACAAGAGACAGAGCATCAGCCACAGATCACGTTTTTTTTTAGCACGGAACATGGTGAGAGTTTACGGTCATTGGTAGCAGAACTTGGTTGGCTGATAATGAGAGTATTGACGTTTAAAAGGTGTCAGTGCTGTCTTTACAAAAAATATTTACCCTTTTGGCAGTTTCTAATCATGACATCAACTCAAATTTCTCTAACGTTCATAAAAGTATCAATAAACAGTTTAATTTTCTGGAAATTTTCTCTTCAATTATTGGTTAAGTTCCACTAAGTGAGGCCAAATTCACTTCGTATACGTCTTGATATGTTTGAAACAACAAGGGATCATATATCATTTATTGTCAGACATTATTATTCTGAAGGAAGGATTTGTGTTTCCTAAATTTCTGAATACATCAATACGAAATACAATATCACCCTGATGCTCAGTAACTTTATGATACCATTCATTAAAACTATTTCATTTTTTAAAATGAAAAATTTTGTACATGTACTTGATTATTTAACTGAAATGGAGATTTGAGTTTTGAACAAGATGTGCTTTTGAAAAACTGATGTCCCAGTATGGCATTTTTTGAACGAGGGTTGAAGTTTCTCAAATACAAGAAAAATTCCAAAATCAAAGTTAAATTGTTGGTATTCAAAGGAAAGTCTTATCAAAATGAATATACCTGTAAAATTGAAACTCCTAGTACATATCTCAAAAGAAATAGCCAAGGTTAAGGTTTTTTATACCCCCGATTGGAAAGTGGGGGGGGGGGGGCGTATGTAGTAATTAGGATGTCCGCAACTCCTCTTATACCACTGAATGAAATTTGATGCAAATTTCCATAGAATCTTTAGTTTATATTGTAATTGTGCATCCCCTTTTTGACTTTTTTATCCGGCACATATTTTAGGTTTCCCATAGCAAAACATGGGCACTATCATTATATATGTGAGCCGGCGGAGGGATACATCTATCTTAAGTGAGCTAATTGCTCACAGTATCTCTAGTTTTAAAAAAGGACCAAACCCTTAGGTCAAGGTAAAAATGTCAAAAAATATATATCGATTGGAATATCTTGTCACAATAAATAAACATGTGAAGCACTAAAAGCCAAGCACAAACTGCTTAAAAGTTATAAATTATAGTTTAAGATTAAACGTTTTGGTAAAATTGAAACTCAAAGGTCCAGGTTAGGAGGTCAAAAATGTTTGTTTCCTAAGAAAGGTCTTGTCATTTGTCCACTAAAACTGTAATCTTGTTCATATATTTTGAGTGGGTTGGGCTATGGCTTTCATATTTCACAGATGTATTCCTTGTGACAAGAATTTTCTTCACGTACCACCAAATCGACTTCTTGACCATGGAGTTTTGCCCACTTTTACTCTAAGAATTTCCAAACTTTTGCCCTATTTGTTTATTAGTTGGTACTGGGGCATTCATACTTCAAAGGGTATTTATTGTGGCAAGTCATTTCTATGAGTTAACAAACTTCTTATCTTTTGACATTGTCCTTAAAATTTGACCCACTTTTTGAACACTTTAATAATGACCATAAATTTTGAACAGATAGAACTAGGACTTTCATATATTGCAGGTGTCTTCCTTATGAAAAGATCTTCCTTTCGATACCAACAATTTTGACATATTAACTTTGACTTGGAGTATACTTGCATTTGAGAAAATTAAAGTATTCCCATTAATTGCCATACGGGAACATCAGTGTATACACATACTTTTTGATTATTTATTAATTACTTGGCTAATACGTTTTTTACTTAAATAATCCTTGCTTCGAATAGAAATCTATACATGTAGCTGTTTATTTAACCTTGCATACAATAAAAATAGCATTGTAAAAGAGACAAGATGTGGCGTATAATGTCGCTGATTATTCAGATTTTGGAAAATTTTAAGAAGCCAAGTTCAACACTTTATAGCAGAAAATTTTAGAGCATCTTACGCTTGCAGTCGTCCATTTCACTTTCTGCTTTCCTAACCAATATTCTGAGTATCCAAATCGTGTCCAACCTATAGAGGAAAGACAAAAAATATGTAACAAAATTAAAAGAATAATTTTGAGAAGAAAAAAAGTACAAACGTCTTGATTTTTGTCTCTTACAAAACGAAAATTAAAAAAAAAACTGCACGTACATTGATATAAAGATTATTTTTAATATATATTTGCAATAGAGTAAAAAAAATTATTTGGTTTATTACAATTTAAATACGAATATCGTACGTGATAGGCAAAAACAATTTCCTGTAAGAAGTGATGACAACTAGTATTAATTGTAAGACTTTTTTTATTTGCTCAGTATCGATGGATTATATTTAAGAATAAAAAAGTATAATATCAACTATATATCATTTTACGTTTTGTATGCACATGCACGTGCATGCATATGCAAGGTGATCATGGCATGTTGGCTTAAGTATTAAAAAATCTTTATATCCTGAAAATAAAAAAAAAATTAAATAATACATATATAAATATTACCATTTTTCAAGTATATTAGCCATTTTGCGTATGCACATGCATGTCCTTGTATTCAATTCTGATAGTAGCATTACGTAGGAATCCGTTATACCTATTCATATACCTATTCCTATTCTAAAGTTCATCTTGTTTTGTAGAGAACCAGGAAAGTTATGGGCATTTAAAGCTTCAGCCAATAAGATAGCAGCACACGCATGCTTTCTGATAATTTGTATATATAAAACGTAGATCCTAATCATGTATATATCAATGTTAAAATTTTCAATCGAATTTGTCAAAATACAAGAAATATTATGAAACCTTAGTTTCAATCAATTAGAGCGAAGTGCACGTGCATGCGTGTAAAATCTTGCTGTATGAACCAAGTCATCTTGTGTATGCTACTATTATCTGTATGCTACTAATATTCAGTACTGACCATACCCAACCTGACACCAAAGCAGTCCAAGAAAGCTTTGGGACCGCTCTGGCACTGCTCTGGGACCACACTGCGACTGCTCTGGACCGCTAAGGGACTGCTCTGGGACTGCTATATCAAGTAGATCAAGCAGACCCAGCAATCGCAGCTGTCCCTGGGAGGTTCTGAGTGACACGATACATGTAGCTCCACCCCCCTCCCCCTTGTGTATTCTGAATTTTACATACCCCCTGTTTTTTTTTGTTTACTTGCAGCAGAGTGGAGTTTAAACTATTTAAAAAAACCAATAATTTACAATCATTTAATAAGTAGAAATCACATGTATTATAGTTAATTGATATTTTCAGGGATTTTATTTTACACAAGTTAAATTTGGAATAATTTAAAATAATTAAGTTGTTAAATATTAACTACAGTAGTTAGGAGAATATTTTCCCTACAATAATCTACAGGTTCATGAGAAAAAAAACTACTTGTTGGCCTATTTTAATATCTAATGTAAAATTAAATGCTCAAAATTTGCATTGGCACTATAAAAAAATAATTGCATAACATATAAGATTTCATAAACAAAAAATCTACGCATTTCACAAGTACCACTCAAAAAAGCGTCTTCCATGAAACCCTAAATTAAAACCTAACAATTTATTTTATGATCATTAAATAAAATTATGCCTCATTGTTACATGTAGTCTATTATGTATACACTGAATTAACGACGGATTTTGCCGTTATTTCCTGATCATCACAAGAAGCAAACGGCGGGTGTGACCGGTCAGCAGGAGTTGCTCACTCCATGGCACCTGATCCCATCTCTGATGTTTCGGAGGTCCGTGTTTACTCTGCTCTTATTTTGTATTGTTTTATGAACTTTAAGATTGAATACTGTTTGTTATATTCAAATCCTTTATGTATAATGCAAAAAATTGATAAAAGAAATTAAATCTGTAAATTTCTTTCAGGATTAATTTCTTTTGAACATGATCTGAGGGTTCCATTCTGGTGGTGTACAGAGGTACGCTCATACATTTACAAAATTTACAAAACACTTAAAACTGAGTATTGAGTATTGTAGAGCTAGAAAACTAATTAAAGTGACATGTCAGTAAAAATAATCATGATTGAAAAATAATTCTTGGCAAAATTAACAAAGAATTTTTAAAAAGCCCTAGTCGCCCATAAAATTAATAAATCCCGCCCACTTGGACAGCTGGGACTGCTTTCTGAGACTGCTCTCTGGGAGCACTTGGACTGCTGTGGGACTGCTCTGGGACCGCTGTTGGACTAAAATAATACCCATTAGCATAGCTTGGACAACCATCAATAAGTCCTTTCAGTTTTTTTTTTATTTAATTATCAATTTTCCCCTGTTTCTATGGCAATTATTTACAGTTTACAATTTGTAAATGCAAATCGCACAATTACAGATACTATTCATTTCATCAATAAAGTTTCATTACAAATGTTCAACGCACTTGAGAGAACACCCTCGGACAAATTCGTCACTCTTTGCAGATTTGAATGGCAACGGTAGACATTTTAAAACTGAGTGTTCTCAGAAAATTACAACCAACTGATAAAACCTTTTTAGGGTTAATAGGTATGTAGTGTAGGTGTGCGGAACGAAGGTCATTTTGCGCGCATACGCCTGCACGTGCACTGAAATGAGTGAATTTACTGATATACTTAATATAGCTATAACTTTTACATTTTTTAATGAAATGCTTTGAAACTCATTACATAAGGATATATTAAAAGTGTTACTAATATGACACTGTCAAATTAGCATGAACTCACGCGCATGCACGTGCGCCTTCCTCTGATTGGATGAAACAAAAATCTCAATATCTCTTTTGTTTTCCGACGAAATGCTTTCAAATTTTTAACATTGTCGTGAATTAGGATATCCTACAATATAATATGGAAAAATTCCATGAAATCACGCGCGTGCACGTGCGCTGCAATCTGATTGGCTGAAACTTTAAATGGCTATATCTCCTTTATTTTTTGACGAAATGCTTTGAAATTTATAACATAGTCATGCATTAGGATATCCTGTAATATACAAAAAATTTCAAGAAATCACGCGCATGCACGTTTGCTGCAATCTGATTGGCTGAAACTTTAAATGGCCATATCTCTTTGATTTTTGACGAAATGCTTTAAAATTTAAAACATAGTCATGCATTAGGATATCCTGCAATATGATTTAGAAAAATTTCAAGAAATCACGCGCATGCACGTGTGCTGCAATCTGATTGGCTGAAACTTTAAATGGCCATATCTCCTTTGATTTTTGACGAAATGCTTTGAAATTTAAAACATAGTTATGCATTAGGATATTCTACAATATGATTTAGAAAAAAAAATCTTGAAGTCACGTGGATGCACGTGTGCTGCAATCTGATTAGCTGAAATTTGAAATGGCTATAATTTCCTTGGTTTTCAACCAAATAGGATGGGATTTAGAACATAGATAGATATAAGGGCCTCCTACAAGAAGGTATGGTCATCATGCACGTGCAAGCACGTGCGTGCATTTGGAACGAGTGAAATTGAAAATACACTTGAATGAGTGATTCTTAATACTTTTGGACTAAATGCTTTCATATAAAATATATTTTAATATATAGAAAGTGTAGACAAGATTATATGATAATTATGCACGTGCATTCACATGGGCACGCGTGCAATGTCAAAATTAGAATATAATTGGTATCCTTTTGGGAAAACGTTGTTAAAGTCAAAAATGCGCAGATGTCTTATTTTATAATGCTTACAGGGAATATGGCACCAAAAGGGAGTTGGGGAGCGTTTGGGTAAAAACAAACGGTTCAAAAACAATTAGCACTAGTTATTATTCTTTTTTCTTCTTATTTCTTCTCCGGTACTTTTTTTGTCCGGAAGTGTTCTCAGAAACTGTTCACCAAATTAAGTTAAAACCTTTTTAGGGTTAGTAGGCATGTTGTGTAGATGTGCCGAACGAAGGTCATTTTGCGCGCATTTTTGCATGCACGTGCGGGCGCGTGCAATGAGTAAACTGACTGATATATTTAATATGGTTGTAACTTTTATATTTTTTGATAAAATGTTTTGAAACTCATTATATAAAGATATATAAGTAGTGTTGATAAGATGACATGGTCAAATTTGCATGAACTCACGCGCATGCACGTGCGCTTTGCTCTGATTGGCTGAAACAGAAATCTTAATATCTTTTTTATTTTATGATGAAATGCTTTGAAACTTAAAACATAGACATGTATTAGGATGTACTACAATATGATATATAATATTTTTCATGAAATCACGCGCATGCACGTGCGCTGCAATCTGATTGGCTGAAACTTTAAATGACTCTAACTCCCTTGGTTTTCAACCAAACAGCATTTTTTGGGATTTAGAACATAGATAGACTTAAAGGACTTCTACAAGATGGTATGGTCAGCATTCACATGCATGCACGTGCGTGCACGTGCGCTTTGCTCTGATTGGCTGAAACAAAAATCTCAATATCTTTGCTGTTTTTTTTACAAAATGCTTTGACATTTAAAACATAGGCATACTTTTAGATGTCCTACAATATGATATATAATAATTGTCATGGAAACATGCGCATGCACGTGCGCTGCAATCTGATTGGCTTAAACTTTAAATGGCTATAACTCCCTTGTTTTTTAAAAACAGGATGGGATTTTTAACATAGACAGACATAATGGACACCTACAAGAAGGTTTCATCATGCACGTGCGTGCACGTGCAATGAGTAAAAAGTGTAGACAAGATGATATGGTCATTAGGCTCTTGCAATCACATGCGCACGCCTGCATTGCTTAAATTTAAAATACTTTATACTTTTGAGAAAACTTTGTTTACGTCTTAAATGCATAGATTTTGCCTTCTTTTATGAAACTTACAGGGAATATGGCACAAGAAAGGAGTTGGGGAGCGTTTCAGAAATTTAACGGTTCCCGTTACAATTAGCACTAGTTATGTTCCCCAAACGGAGTTTGGGAACATATTGTTTTTACTCGGTTTCTTATTATGTTCCCCAAACGAAGTTGGGGAACATATTGTTTTTACTCTGTTTCTTATTATTATTATTATTATTTTTCTTCTTCTTCCTGGGTACTTTTTTGTCCGGGAGTGATCTTGTAAACTACACATCCGACTTAGGTAAAACCTTTTTAGGGTCAGTAGGTATGTTATGTAGATTTGCGGAACGAAGGTCATTTTGCGCGCACGTGCTTGCAAGAGCGTGCACGTGCAACACGTGATATGACCAATTCAATTGATATAGGTGTAACTTTTTACATTTTTGATGAAATGCTTTGAAACTCATAATATAAGGATATATTAGTGGTATAGACAAGATGACATGTTCAAAATAGCAAGATCTCACGCGCATGCACGTGTGCTTCGCTCTGATTGGCTGAAACTAATATATCTCAATATCTTTCTTGTTTTTTGACGAAATCCTTCGGAATTTTGAACATAGCCATGCATTAGGATATCCTACAATATGATATATAGCAATTATCATGAAAACACGTGCATGCACGTGCGCTGCAATCTGATTGGCTTAAAGTTTCAATAGCCATAACTCCCTTTGTTTTCAACCAAACAGAATGGGATTTGCAACATAGATAGATATAATGGACTTCTACAAGAATGTATGGTCACCATGCACATGCATACACGTGCGTGTATGTGCGCTGCAATCTGATTGGTTGAAACTTTAAACAGCTAGAACTGCCTTGGTTTTCAACCAAACGGGATGGGATTTAGAATATAGATAGATGTAATAGACTTCTACAAGATGGTATGGTACCATGCGCATGTATGCACGTGCATGCACGTGAAATGAGTAAAATAAAAAATACACTTGAATGAGCGTATTTTTCAATACTTTTGGATTAAATACTTTAATATTTAGTATATTATAATATAATTTATTGAAGCTTACAGGGAATATGGCACCAAAGGGGATTTGGGGAGCGTTTGGGGAACATCTGTAACGGTCCCCGTTACAATTAGCACTAGTTATTATTATTATTATTATTCTTTTTTCTTCTTATTTCTTCTCCGGTACTTTTTTTGTCCGGAAGTGTTCTCAGAAACTGTTCACCAAACTAAGTTAAAACCTTTTTAGGGTTAGTAGGCATGTTGTGTAGATGTGCCGAACGAAGGTCATTTTGCGCGCATTCGCATGCACGTGCGGGCGCGTGCAATGAGTAAAATGACTGATATATTTAATATGGTTGTAACTTTTATATTTTTTGATAAAATGTTTTGAAACTCATTATATAAAGATATATAAGATGTGTAGATAAGATGACATGGTCAAATTTGCATGAACTCACGCGCATGCACGTGCGCTTTGCTCTGATTGGCTGAAACAGAAATCTCAATATCTTTTTTGTTTTATGATGAAATGCTTTGAAATTTATAACATAGACGTGCGTTAGGAGGTACTACAATATGATATATAATTTTTTTAATGAAATCACGCGCATGCGCGTGCACTGCAATCTGATTGGCTGAAACTTTAAATGATATAACTCCCTTGGTTTTCATAAACAGCATGGGATTTACAACATAGATAGACATAAAGGACTCCTACAAGACGGTATAGTCACTATTCACATGCATGCACGTGCGTGCACGTGCGCTTCGCTCTGATTGGCTGAAACAAAAATCTCAATATCTTTTCTGTTTTTTTACAAAATGCTTCGAAATTTAAAACATAAGCATACTTTAAGATGTCCTACAATATGATATATAATAATTGTCATGAAAATACGCGCATGCACGTGCGCTGCAATCTGATTGGCTTAAACTTTAAATGGCTACAACTCCCTTGTTTTTCAACCAAACAGGATGGGATTAAGAACATAGACATACATAATGGACTCCTACAAGAAGGTATGGTCATCATGCACGTGCGTGCACGTGCAAATGAGTGAAATAGTGTAGACAAGATGATATCGTCATAACGCTCATGCAATCACATGCGCACGCCTGCATTGCTTAAATTTGAAATACTTGGTATACTTTTGGGAAAACTTTGTTTACGTCTTAAATGTATAGATTTTGCCTTCTTTAATGAAACTTACAGGGAATATGGCACTAGAAGGGAGTTGGGGAGCGTTTGGGGAACATCTGTAACGGTTCCCGTTACAATTAGCACTAGTTATTATTATTATTATTATTTTTTTTCTTATTTGTTCTCCGGTACTTTTTTGTCCGCGAGTGTTCTCAGAAACTGTTCACCCAACTGTCCTAAAACCTTTTTAGGGT